ACAACCAGCAGCCTCCACCCACACAACCAGCAGCCTCCACCCACACAGCCAGCAGCTTCCACCCACACAACCAGCATTCTCCACCCACAAAACCAGCAGCCTCTACCCACACAACCAGCAGCCTTCACACACACAACCAGCAGCCTTCATTCACACAACCAGCAGCCTCCACACACAACCAGCCACCTCTATCCACACAACCAGCAGCCTCCACCCACACAACGAGCAGCCTCCACACACACAACCAGCAGCTTCCACCCACACAACCAGCAGCTTCCACCCACACAACCAGCAGCCTCCACCCACACAACCAGCAGCTTCCACCCACACAACCGGCAGCCTCCACACATGCAACCAGCAGTCTTTATTCACAAAACCAGCAGCCTCCACACAACCAGCCACCTCTATCCACACAACCAGCAGCCTCCACCCACACAACCAGCAGCCTCCACCCACACAACCAGCAGCCTCCACCCTCACAACCAGCAGCCTCCACCCACACAACCAACAGCCTCCACCCACAAAACCAGCAGCCTCCACCCACACAACCAGCAGCCTCCACCCACACAACCAGCAGCCTGGTGGCTAAAGCTCCCGCTTCACACACGGAGGGCCCGGGTTCGATTCCCGGCGGGTGGAAATATTTCGACACGTTTCCTTACACCTGTTGTCCTGTTCACCTAGCAGCAAATAGGTACCTGGATGTTAGTCTACTGATGTGGGTCGCACTCTGGGGGACAAGATTAAGGACCCCAATGGAAATGAGATAGACAATCCTCGATGACGCACTGACTTTCTTGGGTTATCCTGGGTGGCTAACCCTCCGGGGTTAAAAATCCGAACAAAATCTTATCTTATCTCTTATCCACCCACAAAACCAGCAGCCTCCACCCACACAACCAGCAGCCTCCACCCACACAACCAGCAGCCTCTACCCACACTACCAGTAGCCTCCACCCACACTACCAGCAGCCTCCACCCACACAACCAGCAGCCTCCACCCACACAACCAGCAGCTTCCACCCACACAACCAGCAGCTTCCACCCACACAGCCAGCAGCCTCCACACACAACCAGCAGCTTCCACCCACACAACCAGCAGCCTCCACCACACAACCAGCAGCTTCCACCCACACAACCAGCAGCTTCCACCCACACAACCAGCAGCCTCCACCCACACAACCAGCAGCCTCCACACACACAACCAGCAGCCTTTATTCACACAACCAGCAGCCTCCACACACAACCAGCCACCTCTATCCACACAACCAGCAGCCTCCACCCACACAACCAGCAGCCTCCACCCACACAACCAGCAGCTTCCACCCACACAACCAGCATTCTCCACCCACACAACCAGCATTCTCCACCCACAAAACCAGCAGCCTCCACCCACACAACCAGCAGCTTCCACCCACACAACCAGCAGCCTCCACCCACACAACCAGCAGCCTCCACACACACAACCAGCAGCCTTTATTCACACAACCAGCAGCCTCCACACACAACCAGCCACCTCTATCCACACAACCAGCAGCCTCCACCCACACAACCAGCAGCTTCCACCCACACAACCAGCATTCTCCACCCACAAAACCAGCAGTCTCCACCCACACAACCAGCAGCTTCCACCCACACAACCAGCATTCTCCACCCACAAAACCAGCAGCCTCCACCCACACAACCAGCAGCTTCCACCCACACAACCAGCAGCCTCCATGCATACAGTTTCGTCTTACTGTCTCATACGTAAACCTACACCATTTCCCCATGTCCACATTCCCTCACTATCTCAAGATCATACCATTTTCAGGAACTTAACTATCATGTTATCCTGCGGTCAACCTTATTATTTCTTCACTGGATTCTTAATTGTAAGCTTATTCTAATCTAACAACAATTATTTATTAAAATTGTTCTGAGATTGAGTCCCGTACCCCCATTTAAGAACCCGGTCAAAAAATGCTAATAAGGTTGACTGCTGGTTAACATGGTACTTGCATTCCCAAAAATGGTTTGAAATAAAAAATTAGTGTAAGTAGAAATGAAGAACATATAGGAAAAATAGGGTTCTGTTCATTAACCCTTTGAGGATCCAGAGGCCAAATCTCAAGAGTGACGGCCAGGGTCCAAGAATTTACAAAAAAAAAAAAAAAATTATTTTTCTTATGAAATGTAGAGAATCTCTTTCTGAAGGTAATAAAACAAAAAGTATGAAATTGATTAAAAATTGATGAAATTATGCTCTCCCGAATTTTGCTGCATCAGCAATATTTGTGTATTGGCGATTTTGCCGACTTTGACTCCCATTTTAGGCCAATTACATTATTCCAGTTGACCAAATTCTTAACTATTTCACTAGTATTTTATTGATTGAGCACAAATCGCCCAGTCAACTGTTTCAAGTACCCAATAAAGTGATCGGAAATTGGTTATTTGTCCAATTTAACACAAAATTCAAAATAGGGTCTGGAATAAACAATGCAGGCATTCCTGGCACTAAACTAACATTTTCTCTGTTCATTAGTTATGTTTTTAGGCTTTACAAATGAATTTCATTTTGATTTTTTATTCACATAATTTTTTATTCACACCAAAAAATGGGAAATTTACTGTTATGCAATATTGTAATAATTGTATAGATAATATCAGCACATTCGTGAATGAACATTAGATCCACCAATTGATGAGTATTAGACTCATGACATCATTTGTTTACTCTTGAACATTGACAAAAATTGAGCATTTCCACTACTTTGAGCTCAGTTCCAAGCTATTTCCAGTACTAAAACCAATCAAAATCATCTCTGTTTCTGTAATATATCTTCCATTCTATCAAATGAGACCAAGAAATAGCGAATACAACTATTAAAAAACACATGAAAAAACACTGCAAATTCACTGTTTTGATCCAAAATTACGATTGCAGTTTTTTCTCTGATTATGCATTACGTGCTGCAGAATTTGTTTTTTGTGGTGCACACTTACCACATAGATGTATTCTCTCATATCTAGGCCCAAGTTTGCCACTCTCAGCTTATCTGAGTGAGCTGAGCTCATGGCATAGATCTACGACTTGGACCCTGGCTTCAAAGCCGTAGATCTACGGGACGCACCGTGAAAGGGTTAACCATGCCCCCCTCCCCCCTAAAACAGCCAAACAAATATAACATAAAACCAAGCTGTTGACATCTTTTGAAGTCATACTGGTACCTAATAGGACTGGTGATGATAATGATTTCCACAGTGGCATGGGCACATATTGGGCAGTCCACTGGGGATCTGTAATTGTAAAAAGGTTAAGAAACCCTGGGTCTAGGGTAATGTTGTTATAAGACTGAAAAGTTTAAAAACATCATACACAATGACTACAGTCCTGTTGTTAATCATTCTTGACATCCTTCAGTTATTACAGTCATTGGGAAGCACTAAACCAGTAGGGGTCATACCGCACCTGGGAGGAATGGGAAACACTCCGGTTGGATAAAAAAAGTAGGACAGTTCTATTTCCCTGGATCAAGAGCCCCTCACCAGCATCAAGGAACCTCCCTGGAGGGACTGACATCCTTCATCTTCTTTCCTCTGTTCTCAGAGAAGTTCACTAGTTCACTTAGTTCACTGGTTCACTTATTTCAAATTTTGACTGAACAAACCTGTATAATCTGTAAACTTGTGCTCCAACTTTCATTATCTCACTAATCCAATTTTACTTCACAGCCACCTTAACTAACTCTTACTCCATTTTGAAATATTTTCACACAACTCTGCATATTTATAAGAACAGAGGAGGCACTTCAGTAGGCCTAGTAGCCTATGCTAGACAGACATTTACACTTATTCATTTATATGCTGTACTCTAAAATTTTCTTACATTATAGATTTACAGGTTCCGTGGCATGTGCTTGCAGTAAAATTTCTAATTAACAGACCCCCATTTAATAGATTTTTAAAATTATGGCCACAAGAAATGGCCCAATGAAAGTTAGAATCATCAGATAAAATGGGAAAAATCCACAGATTTCAGATTTTGTCCATAGTGATATAGATAGTGTCAGGTAGTCTTCTGAATCAACAAGCCATGTCTGATGATTGCAGTGTTTGGTTTGTGTCAGTGTCCTCATCCGGGACCTGTTTTCATTGTTGCCAGACCCGTGGACCTCCCGTGTAAGTTTGTCTGTGTTCCCTCACTGATGCACTTGTCATTCAGTCTCCAGTTTTTTCTTTGACTTGATGTTTTGTGTGACTTTAGTAACATATTATGTAGAGTGCAATTCAAAGTGGCTTGTAAAGCAAGTGATGGTGCCAAGAGGAAAAATGTGGTGTCTCTGTATTAAGCAGAAACTTGAACTAACAAGGAAGGTTGAGTTAAATGCTTCAGTAGCATGGGTATGTGAGTATTATGGTGTTAAGAAACAGTGTCTGATATCTGTAGAAGCAATGACAAACTTAGACTATGCTCTTAAGTTCAGTTTAGGTGCCAGTCATCTATAATTTCACTAGTGGAACTTTTCAGCCCCTCTGCCTTAGAATTAAGTTATTCTGAGTCATTACTAATAGTCAAGGCACTTTACAACTCATCTTTCCACCACAAAAGTTCAGTAAAATTACATAAACTTAGAATACATACTGTCCTCTACTGTGCATGACTACCACTGTACTTTCAACTTAATTTTTTCCTAACAATTCTTATATAGTACTCTTCAGTGCTGTTTTACAGGCTGCAATGTTTTTAGTGTCCAATCAGTGGACCAAGTCTGCTGATCCTGAAATTTGTTAATGTTAAGATCATGAAAAATAAATTTTATAATTCAGAATATGGAGACAGTTGGTAATAAAGTACACCCTCTCCCCCCATTAGTTAGAGGCTTCACTGTAATTCTTTTTTTGAATTCTGTGTTCAAATAATCCCTAATGTTTTTTCCTTGGTGTATTGAGAGGGCTTTTGTGTTTAGATTGTTACTTCCATGAGGAAAAAGCCACAATTTTCATGCATTTTTCAGCAACCTATGAGTTTCTCAACGATGTGACGAGTGATGTGCATCGTCATTTCCGCTCCAAATATCGTCAGAGCATGGTAGCCAAGTATTGGAGCACACTTCAACACCTTCGTGACACTGATATGCTTTTAGTTGGACTTCAGTCCTTTGCATCTAATCCTGCATACTTTACCATACCCGACTGCATCAAGAGAGGCCATCCTGTCTTCTATCGCAATTCTGGACAAATCAATTCCATATCTGATGCTACTAGGTAAAAAATACATAAATAATGTTACTATATTCCTTACAAAATTGAAATAAAACAATTCCAAACAAACCATGGAATGGGTGGGGATTGAACCAGTGGTTTATGCACTGGCCTAGAGTTCTTTGACTCAGTCACCATGGATTGAAACTCCATTGGTTCCATGGTTTGTTTTAATGTTACTGTATTTCAAAGGTATACGTAGTCTAAAAATCCTAGTCCATTTACATGCATGTGTATTTGATACAGTATAGAAAATTGTAAAAGTAATGAACAAAACAGTAAAAAACCACAATAAATAAGGAAGTAGGTAAATAGGATTTTTTCAATGAAAGTATCTCTGTCTTTTAAAATAAGAGGTATCACTGAATATAGTACACGTAATTGATTTAAACATGCTAGATTACGTGCATGATTCATCTTCATTTTATTAAGTTGACTCATGGAGGAGCCTCATTTCTCATCATTTTTTTCTCTGTCTCATGCATGGATTAATAAGAAGCATAGTGAGAATAGTATAGATAGAGCATGATGAAGAGGGTACGGACAGTTAATTGATTTACATTGGCTCCTGTGAAAGCAATTTATTCAAATGAATTTTTAACCTTGTGTTGTTTATTATACATTTAGTGTTACTTTTATTATAACATATTCATAACTTTTTTCTTTAAACACACTGGCTGTCTCCCACTGGCAGGGTGACCCGAAAAAGAAACACTTTCACCATCATTCACACTTACTACTCTCTTGCTAAAGGCACATAGGTACAATAGTTCAGGTGTCCCTTCACACTGCAAGTATCCCCACCTCTCCTTCAGCAGGACTCAAATGTGGCTATCTGGTTTTCGTGAATCCCTTCACAAAATGTTACCTTGCTCTCATTCCAGCAGCTCATCAGGTTTCAAAAACCATTTGCCTCCACTCCTATCTAACATGTTCACAAATACCTGCTAGGCATCCAAGCCCCTTGCACACAGAACATCCTGTACCTCCCCTTTCCCCAAATCCTTTCCTAGGACAACCACTACCCTGCCTTCCCTCCATCACAGATTTATACACCCTCTAAGTCATCCTATTTTGCCACAGTTTCTCTCTATATGACCAAACCACATCAGTATCCCTTCCTTATCCCTCTGAATAATACTTTTAGTAATTACACGTCTCCTAATCTCCAACCAACCAATTCTTTGCATAATATTCACACCACACATTGCCCTCAGACATGACATCACTGCCTCCAACCTCCTCCTTGCTGCAACATTCACCACCCATGTTTCATATCCATTTTGCTTCCATGGATAACGTTTTTTGTCTCCACTGATTCCTCAGTGCACCACTCATATTTTTTACCATCATTCTATGGTTCATCTCGTCTTTCATAGACTCATCTGCCAACAAATAAACTCCCAAATATCTGAACACATTCACTTCCTCCATATTCCCTCTCTCCAATCTGGTATCTAATCTTTCATTACCTAACTTGTTTGTTACCCTCATCCCCTTGCTCTTTCCTTTGTTCACTTTCAATTTCCTTCTTTTAATTTCACGACTATTTATCTTCATTTAAAACTGAAATAAAATCATTTTTCTCATATCATATCAGAATGTTAGGAGATATTTCTTGTGATGGAGTGAGTAATGCTAAAAGTGTTTCTTCTTGTTTGGGTCTCCCTGCCTTGGTGGGAAATGGCTGATGTGTTAAAAAAAAAAAATGTTGCTTTAAACTTGTACTGTGTGTGTTTTATTACTGTATTGCATTTCTTAAGTTTAATTTTGTCTAAACCACTAACCTTGCTAAGAGAGTCACACAGGCATAATATTTTTCATAACTCTAACCCTGTATAATTTTGTGGCATTAATATTATAATCTTTTATCTTTGAATTATTATAATTGCATAAAATTTTTGCTCTCCAGTGACCAGTTCCCACAATTCACGACCTTCTGGAAGCCAGTGTGTATGTTGGATACCAATATCTGGCAGAAGTGGATGCACACACATCGTATTGGCATCATATTAGAGCACGATCATCCACTTCCCAAGAACCTCCATGTTACAAACACAAGTGGAAGGTCTGTAATATATTATTAAACATACTTAATAGATTAATATAGGTTTTTATATCAAACACTTATACTTTAATTTTTTGTGTTTTAATATTTCAAAAACATTAATACTTATCAATGAAATGCATAGTTTTTTTGCATGTGATTATCCTGTAAGTTTTATTGCTTATGTAATTTGTGTGTAACAAAGGAAGCACATCCACCATCACTCATCCAGTAGCTTTCTTGTCAGAAGTGTATGGAGAGAAACAGTTCAAATTACCCTTTGAACTGAAACAGTTTCCCTCATTCTTCAGAGTTGATGCATTCTACTTTCAATCTCCAAAACTATTTTTTAACTTTTTTTTTTTTTTACATCCGATTTAAATAATTTTTTTTTTTTTTCCATTTCAACGCACTGGCCATCTCCCACTGAGGCAGGGTGACCAAAAACAAAAGATACACTTTTACCATAATTCACAAACATCACGCCTTGAAGAGGCATTCAAATACAACACTTTAGATGTCACTTCAAACAGCCAATATCCCAAACCCCTCCATTAAAGTACAGGCATTGTACTTCCCACCACCAGGACTCAAGACCGGCTAACCGGTTTCCCTGAATCTTTATTTCAAAGTTTACTTAGTTTAACTGTTTTGCTGACTGTGCTGTAGTACTACATGATGAGCTCAGCTCACTCAGATAAGCTGTGAGAATGGGTCTGTGCGGTAAGTGTGCACCATATAAAAAAATCCTACAGCACGCAGTGCATGAGGGGAAAAAAAATGGCGCCCAGGTTTTTGGTTTAAAATTGCGATTTTGCCGTGTACAGTGGACCCCCGACGTACGATATTCCCAATCTTCGTAAAAACTGACCTACTATGCATTTCAGCGTAAAAATTTGATGCCGACGTATGGTGAAAAACTCGACCTACGGCATTCGTCCCATACGTGTCCACGTGTCTGTCTGCCTGAGTGTGCCTCAGCTGGCCTAACTTCAGTTAGTATGCCAATGTTAACAAGCCAGAGCGGTCGCTCCCACGCATACATTCAAAACATTTTGTGTTATTCCAGTGTTTTTAGTGCTTCTAACTGCTAAATAAGCCACCAAGGGCCCAAAGAAAGCTTCTAGTGCCAACCCTGTGGTAAAAAGGGTGAAAAATACTATCGAAATACTATTGTACCACAGTCAGCTGCTGCTGCATCATGGTCAGCTGCTGCTGCACCACTGTCAGCTGTACTACTCGAAGATGTGGAGAGACTGTTGTTGGTGTGGCTTATCGAGAATACCTAGAAACAATTAACCCCAGAGTGTTAGCCACCCAGGATAACCCAAAAAAGTCAGTGTGTCATCGAGGACTGTCTAACTTATTTCCATTGGGGTCCTTAATCTTGTCGCCCAGGATGCGACCCACACCAGTCGACTAACATCCAGGTGAACAGGAAAAAATGCCTGGAACTAGTGCTCATATTGGTGAATTTAAGGCCAGCAAAGGTTGGTTTGAGAGATTTAAGAATGGTAGTGGGATACACAGTGTGATAAGGCCTGTTCTGGAAGAAAATGCCAAACAGGACCTACATTACTCAGGAGGAAAAGGCACTCCTAGGACACAAACAGTGTCATATCAGTCATTGCTACATCTTCAATAAAGGTAAGTGTCATTTATTCTTCATTTAGTAGAGTAGTACATGTACAATATATATTGTGCATGTACTACTCTACTATTGTGCATATATCCTTCTTTTTGTGTGTAGGGAAATGTATATTTCATGTGGTAAAATTTTTTTTTCGTACTTTTGGGTGTCTTGAACGGATTAATTTGATTTCCATCATTTTTTATGGGAAAAATTAATTAAGCCTACGATCATTTCGTCTTACGATGGGCTCTCAGGAATGGATTATTATCGTAGGTCTGGGTTCACTGTATTTTCATGTGGTATTTATGGTTATATTCTCAGTTTCTTGGTCTTATTTTATAGAATGGAAGATATATTACAGAAATAGATGATTTTCAGTATTTCCTGAGTGAAAGTAGCTTGAAATCGAGCTTAAAATAACAGAAATGTTCATTTTTTGTTCAATATGTGTCCAACCTCCCAGTCTAATACACATTTAGGAATACACTGACATTATTTATACAATTATGTATTACAATAATGCAGTAGTCTGTATAACAGTAAATCTTCTATTGTTTGTGTAAATAAAAATTCAAAATGGAAAGCAAGTGTAATATAAGAAGGGCCTGGAGACGTGGCTAAGGAACAAAGGAAATGTTTATTTAACCCTTTGACTGTTTCGGCCGTATATATATGTCTTACGAGGTACCGTGTTTGACGTATATATACTCATAAATTCTAGTGGCTTCAAATCAAGCAGGAGAAAGCTGGTAGGCCCACATGTGAGAGAATGGGTCTGTGTGGTCAGTGTGCACCATATAAAAAAAATCCTGCAGCACGCAGTGCATAATGAGAAAAAAAAAACTCTGACCGTCTTTTTTTAATTAAAATGCCGACTTTGTGGTCTATTTTCCTATAGTATTTGTGGTTGTATTCTCGTTTTCTTGGTCACATTTGATAGAAGGGAAAACATATTATAGAAATAGAGGTGATTTTGATTGATTTTACTATGAAAAGAACCTTGAAATGGAGCTCAAAGTAGGGGAAATGTTTGATACTTGCCGATGTTCAAAAGTAAACAAATGATGTCATTGTCCAATAAATGTCCAACTAGCCATTCTAATAAGCAGTCATGAATGAGTTGACATTATTTATACAATTATTACAATATTGCAGTAGTCTGCATAACAGTAAATCTTCTATTTTTTGTTTGAATAAAAATTCAAAATAGAAAGCAAGAGTAATATCTGAGGGGCCTGGAGATGTGATTGATGAACAAAGAAAATGTTATTTTAGAGCAGGAATGTCTGCATTGTTCATTCTGGACCTTATTTTGAAATTGTCATATTTTTTAATTTTCGTGAAATTGGCCAAATTGCAAAATTCTGACCACGTTATTGGGTAGTTGAAATAGGTAAATAGGCAGTTTCTTGTATTCAATCGATAGGAAAAACAGAGTTTTAAAGAAATAGCTGTGAGTTTGGTCAACTGGAACAATGGAATTAGCCAAAAATAAGGCTCAAAGTGGGCGAAATCGCCGATTTGTAAATATCGTCGAAATCGCTAACTTCGCGAGAGCGTAATTCCGTCAGTTTTCCATCAAACTTCGTTTTTTTGGTGTCATTACAATCGGGAAAATATTCTCTATCATTTCCTAAGAAAAACTATTTTTTTTTTTGGGGGGGAAATTTTGCGACACCAGGAGACACCTCTGGATTAGGGATTGCGACAGTCAAGGGGTTAATGTCAGGAATGTCTACATTGTTTATTCTGGACCCTATTTTTAAATTGGGAATTTTTTAATTTCATGTGAAATTGGCCAAATTGCTGAATTCTGATCACACTATTAGGTAGTTGAAATAGGTAAATGGGCAGTGTCTTGTACTCGGTCAATAGAATAGAAGGAATACTAGCAAAATAGCTATGAGTTTGGTCGACTGGAACAATAGAATTAGCCAGAAAGTGATTGCAAAGTGGGCAAAATTGCTGATGCATAAATATCACTGAGCCCGCTAATTTTGAGGGATTGAACATTAAAATGGTATAAAATACCGACAGGTTGTTAGGTAAGACACATATGCAACAGTTAGGTATGATATTGTTTCATACTATGGAACAATGCTCTTCTCCAGACTGAGGGACTGACCACCTCAAAACTTTAAGGGTGATGGACTGATTACATCGTCTTCAAGTACCTTCTGCTTCTATCAACTTTTCTGTACTTGACTGAAGAAGCCTACTGTGTAGGCGAAACGTTTCATAATAAAGATACCTAACTGTTGCATATGTGTCTTACCTAACAATTTTGAGGGAGCATAATTCCATGAGTTTTCCATCAAATTTTATACTTTTGATTTCCTTTCCTTCGGAAAAAGATTTTCTGTCATTTCATAGAATATTTCTTTTTGTCTTTAATTCTTTGACCCTGAGAGCAAGTTTGAGATCAGGGGTCTTGACCCTGACAGGGTTAATGACAGGATGTGACAATAGCCTATTAGTCATTTGTTATGCTTGCATCATCTGGTGGAGTAAACTACAAGTGACACTTACCTCCCAACAGGATCCTGGCAGTAGTGGCATCCAGGAAGTCTTCTTATTTTGTTGGTTGCATCATAGACTGATTGGTGTTGAATTTTTTTTTGTGTTGTCCTTAGACTACTAGTGGAAAACCCAAAGTTGTAATCTACTCACTCCTTGAAGACATATCTTCTTGTCAGCATCAGTTCTGTCATGCATTAGAATACTAGTACTTTGTCTCTACTGTCTTCAGTCCTGCCATTCCTGTATCTGTCTGGCTTCTGACACAAGTACATGTATGTCACATTTGACATTTCATGGAGTTAAGAGCATTTATAAATGGTAGAAAGTCATGTGCATTTAAACTGTCAACTTTAAATTCATGAACATATTTAGGTGTAAGGAGTATAGTGCCTAATCCTGTTTCTTTCACACCACAAAAGTATTGAAGGTTTGATTCTGTCTGCTAAATCTGTGTGGATCATTTAACATGATAACGTAAGCACACTTAACCGTTCGAGGGTCCAGACCCCCAATCTGAAAATTCCCCACAGGATCCAAGAATTTAAAAAAAAAAAATCTTAGTTTTCTTGTGAAATGGTAGAGAATCTATTTCTGAAGGTAATAAAAAGTACGAAATTTGATGGAAAATTGATGAAATTACACTAAAAAATTTTGCTGTGTTAGTGATATTTACGCATCAGAGATTTTGCCCACTTTGACTCCTATTTTAGGCCAATTATATTATTCCAGTTGACCAAATTATTAGCTATTTTGCTAGTATCACTTCTATTTTATCGATAGAGCACAAGAAACTACCCAATCAACTATTTCAATTGCCCAATAAAGTGATCAGAAATTGGCAATTTGGCCAATTTCACACTTAGTTCAA